GTCTGATCATTCGTCGAGAAATCGATTACATGCTTGCTTTAAATTAACTACTGAATATATTGTTCTTAATCTGTTTTGTACATTTTATTTAACTCGAAATCAATGTTTTGATGCTTATTAAGAATGAAACAAATTTTAGCACGGGCATTTGAAATTATTCCGATTTTATGTGGAAAATTTCAAAATGATAATTTGAATGAAAAAAAAAATCTGAAATGTTTCAGATTTTAAATTACGTCCAAAGGGGCGTTTTTTTAACGTTTTGAGTGTTACCTTTATTTATTAAATATCATGTTCCTTCGCACTTAAACCATAAAGATTCCAGTGCAACAGCAATATCGCAAAATAGTTTTAAAAACGGCATATCTTTAGAATTTCCGATACAGAGAGACTCACGCGCTGGAGATAAAAATGTTTTTTCTGCACAACGTTGCCATTGCTCGCTTTGAAATCCTTGAGTTTGTTAATCAAAAATTCGTCAAAGTTTTAAAAAATAGGAAATCGATCATAAAACAAATTTTCAAATTTCAAATTTGGTCTTCCACATGCTCAATTCGTTGGAGGATTACGTTATTCAAAATTCGATGACTCTATGTACGTGTTTTATCACAATGAGAAAATAACATACATTTATGCAGATTTTCATTATTTAATTCTTCAAATATAATGCAGGACTCTAACATTTGTGGGCAACAGTTTTTGAAGTGAACCGACGTCCTTCGGGATTAAAATCCCTTTGGACTAAAAAAAAAAAAAAAAAAAAAAAAAAAAAAAAAAAAAAACTAGTAAATCTATTCCCAAAAAGAATGAAGTTGAAGAAGAAAAGTTTGAAAGCTGTTGTGGATGCTAAAGGATATCCTACTAAATATTAATGTAACAAAAACTGAAAATATTTACTAATATGTCGAGATTTTTTTGAAGTGTATGAAGACTTTCTTGAGATAAAATGTTTGTCATTATTTGATTATTAATTTCTTAAAAAACGTTTCGTTATATTTTAAAAATATTTCACGTAATTTTGTTACGAATAGATTATAGATCATATTATTAAAATCTCATTCAGAAAGTTTACTTTTAATTAATGGATAGAGCCTTATTTCAACGGAAATCATAAGTGTACGAACACTTTTGAGAGCCACTGTATGTCGCTCGCACTGTGAAAGAAGATTACCAAATATTACCGCCCTGTATTCTTTAAAGAAATTAAATAAAGAACAATATGCATACCTATATGTATCTCCCTCCCACTGTGAGAAAACGATGGTGCCCGAAGCGATTAAGTTTTGAATATCGTTATCCTCCACCCGAACATGGGACCTGGAAGCCGTAATTTTGAGTTTCGAATTTCATATTTTGCTAAAATTCGAACTAATGGACATTTGATTAACATACTTAACGATTCGAATATGAGCATTGGCGATACTGTGCGGAATAAAATATTTTTTATCTCCAGCTCGCGAGACTGTCTGTTAGAAATTCTAAAGATATATTTTTCCCCTTAAATATCGATATTTTATGCTTTTGCTGTGGCACTGAAATTTATTTGGTGTAAATGTTAAGAACCAGATATCTAATAAATAAAGCTAGCACACAAAAGCTTAAGAAAAGACACAGAAAGGACAATAAAATGACACACACGATTTTTTTTAAGACATCGTCTTTAGAAAACTGAACATCAATATGCTGAACTGAGAAAAGAGTGAAGAAACAGAAAAAATATACCAACACATAAATTAGACATAACATATAAACATGTCATACATAAAAACATATACAGAGGCTGTTCACACATTTTTTAGACGACGTATATTGTATTCACAAAAGTAAATTACATAAAATTCTTGTGTTTTAAATGTTCTCTTTGACATCCTTTATTGAACTATCTTTCGACACCGCAATTTAGGATAATAATGCCTTTGGAAGTGGCAAAGAGGTTTAATCCCATTCCTCCGAACTGCTTTCCAGAGTCCTGTTAGGGTTTTTGGGACAACGTTTGGATAATGCAGTTTTTAAAAGTCCGAAAGCACAAAACTCCCTAGGTGACACATCGGGAGATTCAGTAGGGATATCATGAGGGTATGGCCTTTTGATACCAGTTTTTGTTCCATTTCTTTTAGGAAATGTACAGGGATTTTGATGTGTGATGCTAGCTTTGTCTGATGGAGTCTCACAGATGGATGGCCCTGTGGGTAAAGCGATGGTATTTCATTCGGAAAAATTGGCGATAAAATATGTTCCTGATAGTATTTGGAGTTAATCTTCAATTTTTGGCACTCTCTTTATTTTGACACTTGCCATTATAGAAAAACGGGAGCAACAATCATGAATCCCTTAGAAAAACGTTTCTTTCTATTTTTTTTCTTGACAAAAATTTTTTCTTTTTTTTTGTCTCCCTTTATGATAATAGATGGCTTTTTTTGTTACACTCATTAAATACACCCATGCGTCATCTATTGTGGCAACTGTTTACATTTTCTTTTGGTAAGTTTTCTCATATAGATTCTGCAGCGTGGTCCTGCGTTGCGGATATGCTCTGGAAGAAGGACGATGCACATTGCTTTTTTTCGCCTTCTTAAATTAAATCAACGTATCATTTGTTTACGGGACAACCGAGCAATTTAATGATTTGCAACTGTCTTTGACTGGGGGATTTTCTTTTAAAAAAAAAAAAAAAAAAAACAAAAAAAAAAAAAAAAAAAAAAAAAAAAAAAAAAAAAAAAACAACATTAAACATCGTACCTTTGCAATAGTCGAAGATATCCGTTTTTTTGTTGGATTTTTTTTTTTTTTTTGACGTTTTTTTCCTTTCTTGTTGATGATATTACCTATCGACGCTTAGATATCACAAAACCATGACTCTCGCATCGTTTTTGGATAACGGAGTATGCATAATCCTCTTCGGAAAGAACGTAAATGTAGCCTTCGAACTATTGCTTTGTTAAATTCGCTATTTTGAATAAAAACAAAACTTTCAAGCCACAGACGATAATTTTGACGTTTAAAAACAAAGTACAATTGCAATTACTTCTTTTGCAGCAAACGAGTTTTTATTACCGCTTACCAAAATCGTCTAAAAAATGTGCGAACAGCCTCTGTATAGATACGCTTGCGTGGCCAGCTTTATAAAATAGTTGTTATAACAATGAAAAAAAAAACTATATAACGATTTTAATTAGTTCAGCTAAAGTCATTTCATAAAAATATTGAATATTTCTAATTACACATCTCATGATTTTATTACATAGATATTTAAATAAATAACATTAATAAGCAGTACATCTTTTTTAGGAAATGTGTTTATTGGTTTTAAATCGCTTCAAGTATTACTCAGCAAACTTCTAGGTTAAATCTGAAAGTATTTTAGGCGTTACTGAATGGCAACACGCTGGCGCGCGTAAGTAAAAGTATTTTATTTCCTTCCGCGGCAACACATTGCTTTCATAGAGCCCAGTACATTTAGTAAAACTGAAAGATAAATATCTCACATTTTTCCGAAGCGCAACAGCCTCGCTTGCTGGAGATAAAAATGTTTAGTATAGTGTTGCCACTGCTCCCTTTCATATCGTTAAAAGTTATAATAAAAAATTACTTAAAGTTTTATGAAATACGAACGAAATAATAAAGCAAACTCCTAATTCGGGCTTTCAGATGCACATGTTCGAGTTGTGATTGTTTTCACAATGAGAGGAACATGCATACATAATGCAGATTCATCTTTATTTAAATTTTTTTAAATAACGCAGGGCGTTAATATTTGGTGGCAACAATTTAAAAAGTGATACGCCATTTATAGTCAACCAGTACAAAATCCCATTTTGAGACTAATAATCCCTTTGGGGATAGAAATGTTTGAAAACTAATGCAATGCATTTTGTATTAATTATATTGCTATTATGTTAGACAATGTTATTTTCTATTCATTAAAAAGGTCTTTTTTATTCAGTGATTTATCATTTGATAACGAAAAAATACCTACTTTTTTCCGAGATTAGCAGTTCTGTATAGAAGTCGATTCTCTAAATTAGCTTTAGGGGTGTTGGAACCCCAAAATCTTCAAAAAACTGTGATCTCGGATTTTTGCATTTTCAAATTCTCTACACTTTTATCTTTCTAAAAATATTATTCTTTAATCTCTATAAAAGTTAGAACTGCAAAAAATCTAGTTTTAATTTGTAATTTACTGCTTGATCAATGAGGATTTTTACATAAAAATTAAATAAACTTTTTATGGCTTATTTATTAGGTTCCCTAATATTAACTGAAATGTAATAAACTTAGAAAAAAAGATTTAAAATTTTTTTGGATGAGAGTGCTAAATTTTACTATGCCTAACAAAATATTCTGTAATTTACTCTAAAATTCAAAATGTTTCAAAAGCTCATTCCAGTATAATCAGATAGGTATACTTTAATTACAGAAAAAATTTCAAGCTTGTATCTACAGCAGATTTTCAGGAAAGGTACATCGAAAATGGGCAATTTAACATTGTCGGTATAGGTGTTTCTGATACCCCTTTAGAAAATGTTCCAAAAATTCTGAGTTTATACAGGGAAATATAGGATAATATGAAACCCAAAATGCTATTTTAAAATGTTAAAATGCTTTATGTATTAAGCGTTTTTAAATTACGTTGTTTAGTTGAAGATATCCATTGATGAATGAGCAAGCTAAGCTTAGCTTTTTAAAAAATTTGCATAGTAAATTAAACATCGTACTATTTATTCATGCCATATGTACTTCTACTTCACCTGTAAGCGTTTAAATTCAACCGGTATCTTTTCGTAGACGCCGCAGTCAGTACTGAGTATGCAGTCGCCAACCTGAGTCTATAGTTTTTTTATATCGCTTGTAAGGTTTTAGAATTTTTTTTTAGTAGTTTATCATTTCTTTAATTCGTAGACGAATGGAAATATTTTGCCCATTTTTTGGGATTTTTAGAAAATTATTTTTGTAAGTGTGCCTCAAAGGCAGTACGAAAAAATATCATGTTTTTATTCCAGTTGTTCGTTTTACTGTGTGGACTCAAAAAAGTGTTCGATCAAAGAATTCCTGATGATTGGCATGTCGAGAAAGATGTTGGGTTTTCTGCTTCTCATAAGCAATTTCACTACTATTTTGGGCGAAAGTGGTAAGTTCAGTTTGAATTTAAAGAATTAATTATCTGTGCTACGAATTATTAACCTTAAGTGAAACTTTAATATAAACTCTTGTCCATTTCTTTATCTTAATTTAATGTCACTCGTAACTATTCAATATAGTTTAACGTAAATGTACTGTTACAATAATATATTTTAAGTTCAGATTGTTAAAGCGATTAAATGTGTTTCAGTGATAATGAGGATAAACATCGGTTAATCTTCGGATTATGATAACTTGGCGATTTTTTGGCGAAAATGTGGCGACCAACCCTGCTACAGCAACCTGCTAGTTTTTTTTGGACTCCATTTTGTTTTCACGAAGTAAAGGCTCTTTATTTTTACTCAACATTTTTTTTCCCAACAATCTGCTAGCCGAATTACACTTATGCTCGAACTTTTATGGAACAAAAGTACTTAATCATGACGAAGATTAGGTGCGGAATTGGAAGGAAGTGCAGAATCGCCCACTGTTTGCCGCGTTTTTAAGAATTGCACATACACGGTATCATCCATGTACACGTCACCTATTTTCACTTTAAAAAACATCCTAGAATTGCACAAAAATGGCATTGTGCACAATCTTCACTTTATCAATGTGCACTACTAAAGTCTTAGCTAGTAATTTTTATCGCCTTGCCAAAATGTCACCGATCTACCTGTTACCATATTCCAAAGATTAGCCATTCAGTCTAGTTTAACGTAAATGTACTGTTACGATACCATGTTTTAAGTTCAGATTATTAAAGCGATTAAATTTGTTTGAGTGATAATGAGGGTAAGCATCTTAAGCAATTTTATGATGAACTTCACGTAGCATACTTTCCAGGTAAACTTAGTAAGTTCATGTGCATTAAACTAGGCATTTTATATAGCGAGTTAATTTAAAATGTGTTGATGTACTGAAAGCTTCTTTTGCATTAAATTAATATTTACCTGCTTTTACTGGTATGGTGAAAATATAACATTTTCTGTAGCGTCTATACGGAAGTCAAATTTTCGCATTTTAAGAACCTTTCGAAGGCGATAAGTAATTACTTCTCATATGCTCCAGTTAGTTTCAATGATTGATTTCACACTTCTAGAATTCTACAGGCCTTTACTTTAATTTTATTTTATATGCACTTAGTTTCTTTCTTGAATCTTTGGTATTTCAGGAATAACGTATTCACAAGACACTTTCATAACGTATTCTGTGTGTATGCTTATAAAGTATTTCTACACGGTGACTAAGACATGGCGACATTTAGGCAATGAATTAAGTTTTGGCGTTGAAGTGAAACTAATTATTTATTTTAAAAAGAAAATATTTCAATAAAATAATTTCCAGGAAAGTGGATATTATTGCGTGAAACTTTATTGGTGTTCTCGGGCACCTGCTATGCCGGTTAAAGGCGATTAATGGTAAAAATTTCGTAAACAACGTACTGAAAAATGTGAATTAATGGATTAAATTCATATTTCCACAAACTTAATCTCGCTGTAATTTTTGTGCGTTTTATTTGAATTTACACTTAAGATAATCTGTTAAATTTTCTGTCTTAAGTCTTATCTGCATTTTGAAATATTGTTGAGAACAAAATGATGAACAAATGTTGGTTTTGTAATTTAAAATATTACTTGCATTATGGTACAGATATTTGGAGATATTTTCATAATATGAGCTATGCATTCAATAGTGATAGTTTTAAATTATTTTAGCTCCTATTCACTTTATACTCAAGATGTTTTATAGCTCTGTCGCCATGTACCCGTTTCATTCTAAGCGATCTGAACCCGGTTGAAGGGCCCACCAGCGGACGAGCGGTAAAATCGCTGAACACTGGGAGTTCGGTCCGAGGTTCGAATCCTCCGAACGGGCTGACTGCATGGGCGTTTTCGTGATTTTCCCCATGTGTAACGTGTATACGAGCCAGTTTCCCTTAGAAAGTCCTCCAGGAAGGCATCCCTCCCCTTAGGCAGATAACCCTAGTGTGCTTTGCCGTATTCTCAGTACACTGAACCCGGTTGAACTATTGCTTTTAATTACAGTAAATTTGTCCTTTTGTTGTCTGGATCATGAATTTCGTGCCAATATTGTTGTCAAAAGTTTTAACGCAATATATCCGAACCTTAATGAATTTTATCGCAAAATTATCCAGCTAGTATATTTTCGAAACAAAACTTATTTTGGTAACTTCTTAAACATAATCTCATTATAATTCTAGCAAGAAAATAAAAAATGACTAATTGTAGTTTCAGAAATGCTAATAACTTATGTAATATATCTCCGTGTGTTTTTTTCTTACCTTCTTAATAACCAAACACCTTGGATTTGGGTTACATATGACATGTTAATTTATGCAGGCAAACGGTGCATGATGGACCAAAGTCGCGGAATTCGACCTCGGTTGGATCCGAGGCGAACAGGTTGGCTGCAAGGTTTGTTTTCGTGGGTTTCCCCATGTGCAAAGTGCATATGTAATTAATTTCTACTAAAAAACCCTCCTTGAAGGCATCTTTACACAGATAACCTGGTGTCTTGCTGTAATTCGGTAAACCAAATCATTTTGGATAACCTTGCCTGAAGCATAGGCTATGAAAAGGTGATATTTGCTTACTTTAAATGCCTCCTGTAATTTTGTTCAAGATTTGTCGTAATAAACCTAATTATTCAAATCTCTAAACCAAGCGTTAAATGTTTTAAATAGAAAGCAGTGTAAATCTTGTGAGATTTTCGTACGGGATGCAAAGTATTTCGTGTGGAAATTTCTTTTAAATCCGTATTGCTGATAATTCTTTAAGGGGACTCGTACACCTTAAAACCCATAAGATGTCCGAATAGATGACTGTTGCAAGAATTGAGAACTTATTTATTTTAAAAGCACTTACTTCCAACTTTTTACAGCTGACTACATAATATAGCTAATTTCTGAAATAGTAATCAGAAAATTTGTGTTGCCACAAATGTGTCCATAATTTCAATCCGCTTTGTGACAAACATGTTTCGTCATGTTCCAACCTTGCGCGCACAGTTTTAAAACATTTCTGTTGCATAATTTAATTCCTATATTTAATATATAGCTTTTATAGCATTTAGAAACTACTGTGAACCAAAAACTCTAAGATTTTCATTTAAAAATTTATTTTATTTGGAGTTGAGTTTAATAAAATGTATTTTATTTAAAAAAATTATGTAATGTTTTCGTGCATAAAAATTTTTCAATATTAAAATATTCATCAGATTGGTTGGTTCAGGTAGAAAAGTCGTGTCCATATAAAGAAGTCCATTGCAATTTCAAGTATGTACCATTAGCCATTTTTAAAATATCATGCGCGCAAGGTGGAAACACGGCGAAAATATTTTGTCACAAAGAGGATTAAAATTACAAAATATTTGTGGCAACACAAACTTTCTGGTTACTACTTTCTAAAGCAGCTATATTATGTAGTCAGATGTAAAAAGTTGGAAGTAATTAATTTTAAAATAAAATAAAACATCCCAATTCTTGCAACAGTCGCATATTCGAAGATCATGAGGGGTTTAAGGTGCATGAGTCCCCTTAAAAAAGCAAAATTTAACAAAATACTGAAGTGTCTCACATCTTGCTTCTAAAAATTTTTGACTCCTGGAAAGCAACTGATAGTAAACACCCGAATGTTTCAGAGTTGGATCATGTGACTGTGATAAGATTCACCAGGTCTGTCTGCCTAAGCAGAGCATATCGTCCATGGATAACGCATCCAGTAAAAACTGGCTCGTTTTCATTCTTGATTTCTCGGGAAATCCCGAGTTAGCTACTAGGTTGGCTTTCTTGGCGAAATCTTATAAATGCGTAGTAATGCATAACAATTGCTGGGCGTACTAAATTAATCTACATAATTCCAATTTTGCTTGTTTGCATAGCGTCGTATCACTTGCATACATTATATATCAAGTAAACTGCGCTAGGTACACGATCCTTCATACAACAAATATTTGCAAAACGGTGGCCATAAACTTACCGCCGAGCATGTTCGTTTTCCGATATCTATAAACATGATACCTCCTGACCGGTATAGTGGACCTAATTCCGTAGTGGATAGTGATCCTGAATGACGTAGCGATGGGCTTGGGTTCGAATTCTGGAAAAAGCATGGTTGTAAATTCTGTCCCTTCGTAGGCGGCAGCGGTGTTCACCTCTTGGGTGTTTCCATAATGAAATGGCCACTGCGTCAGCTCTTATAGTGGCGCAAAGCTAATGGCTATTAACTAATACGACCGGGCATTAAACTAGACCTTGAGCAATCTTTTAAATTTGCAAGTACATTCTTCGAAGACTAATTATGAAAGCGCTGTTCATTATTACATAATTTCTATAATGTGAAAGCTGCAACCTCAGTTTGAGATATGAACTGGTGATCTCTTCATTCATGGCATAGCAACATAGAGATGAAATTTGTTCCCTTTCTAGCTATCCAAGAGACCCGTTGGTTTGCATGTCCCGCACAATTTGGTCTGTTCGCCAACCCCATGAATCCAAGAAACTTCTTCGTCTGCGACAGGGGTCTAGCGTACGACACGCCGTGTCCTTATTACCGCCCAAACTTCAATGCCGAACTGAAGATATGCATGGTCTTGCCGACACCAAACTTGCATGGAAAAGAAAGAAATGCACAGCCTCTTGATATTGAAAAATAAATGAAGTGAGTTCATCAACCTTCTTAAAAATTAAATTGTTTCTTGTAAAACATTACATTAGTGCTTTGATTTACTTATTTGCATAAGTTTATTCCCAGGTTTTTGAAAATATCAAGTCTGTAGATCACTTCTGAGCTTCTGGCACTATGACTACTGCATAATACAATAAATACTCTGTAAAATACCTTTTTCCAAGGTTGGGTTGTAATAAAATCAAGAATGTTTTAGAGAAGGTTGTTTTTAAATATTGCACGTACAATGTCCGAAAGCTTACAAATTTTCTGTTTACACAGACAATTTGGAATGTCAATATTGGCACATTTCATTCAGTTCTGGTCATTTACATATTTATATTTTTCTGTTTGGTTAAAACCGCTTAAAGCGCCGTTAAATAAATAACGGTTACTTGCTGAGGTAGTCAATACTCGGATTTCATTAAGATGCAAAACAAATCGTCTCACTTTATATTCTGAGTATATAACTGAATAGTCTTAACTTGTTATAAACTCGACACTAATAGACTCAGTGCAGCTAGAAACTATGGATTATTCAAGGTGTAAGTCAAGATGAAAATGACATTTTTGCTGCGCTTAGCTAATTACAATTTCAAGGCCTTTACTATGAGCTACTTAGTGCAAATTTAAGTAATAGTTTGTTACATATGATTCGACATGATATACATGATTTATTACGATTGTTAGTGTCTGTTTTTAATTTGGGCATAAAAGTATATTTCAGTTATAGTTTCGTGCTCATTGCAGTTAAAATTTAATACAAATCTATAAATATTTAATGCTGTATAAATCCTATTCTCCACTCCGTAGTCGCTATAGAGTATAAATTATCTACTAATCATAATTTAAGTATGTAACAAGTATTTAAATGGTGAAAACACTTACAGCAGCCACCTGATAAAACAAACATCAAATTTAAAATTCTTTTGAATTGTATGACTACTCGTAATATATTCCAAGATTAATCTGAATATTATTGTACTCTCATTCATGATACTATACAACCACTAAGCACTTGTGTACATCAAATACCTGAATCATCCAGTATATTAAAACTTACTTTAGCAAAGTCAAAATTCGCGGTTTTCCATAAATCATGGCAAACAAACATGACAGGCTTATTCACAAAGCCTACGGACCGTTTCTACTGCTGTTTGCTCCGATTGGTTAAACCAGGAAATGTAGGATTACAGAACCTAGTGCTTGGCGACTTTTGGTTCCTCGCCTTTAGAATTTGTATTTGAGCATGCTGTACCAAAAATTGTGCAAAACTCGCCGGAGAAACCGCAGCACAGGGGTAAGGAGCGCGGAAAACGTTATCGGCATTCTAGATCGTTGGTTCTATCCCCTCTCGTAGCATTCATAAACCCTGCTCTGCGCGGATTTTTTTTTAAATTCATTGAATGACTTCGTCATTATTTATTTGGTTGCGGTTTAAAAATTAAACGCCTTTATTTTCTCTATTTTTGTTAATTTTTCTTATTTATTTACTGTTTGTCTCTTTGTAGTAGGTACAGTAGCAAAGATTACGATCCAAGATCCGAAAAGCGTTTCAATAGAAATAGCGCATAATGGAATAAAATATAATTTTAGTTATACTTACTTTTCATTATTTAGGTACAAAATAGGTATCCGACGCCCTTAAATGTTTACTGAATGTTTTCATTTGGTTTATTTTTTAATATTCCTTTATTTGTATTAATTAATGCGCTATAAAAATTTACACAACAGGCTCTTTCTAACAGAAATGACGAAAATGTGCATATGCTGTCTCCATATAAACACCTTTTTCTTGTAAAACAATTACAAACTTTTAAAAGTTTAAATTCAAGTACAAATTAACTAATAAGGTCAGTAAGTTATATAAAATATATTCCACACAATTCCTCCAAGTTTTCATTCATAAACTAAAAAAATATCGAATGAAATAAATGCTGTTTCTTGTTAATTACCACGCCTACAGGGCGATAACTCGCCATTCCAAATATGACCGCCAAGTAGATGTTTCATCCAATGAGAGCAGACCTTAGAGAAATGGTCTGTAGGCTTTGTGAATATGCACATGACGGTAGCAGCCATAGCAACTACGAAGTGTAGTGAAAGAAAAAATTCTGTGAATATCAAGGGAAAAATCAAACACCTTAACGAATTTTCATTAGTGTTTATCGCAAACTTTCTTAGCTCGTAAAAAACCTTAAATTCTCAAGATCTGGAATTCATCTTAACTTCGGTACTTGCAAGCTACTTAATACTAGTAATATGTATACTGGAACAAAACGCATTGTTTAAGTCATGCTCGGAGGAAAAAAACATGCAATGATTTTGAGGAAGACCACACCTTCGGGAGGGGCGTTTCATTGAAAGCAGACGATGCACTAGAACTTCGCCTGTAGATTTAAGTTTTGTGCCGACCAGACGGTATAGTTGTTAGAGAAGCCGACTGCGATACCAAAGGGCCCGGGCTCTAATCCCGGAGAAGGCTTGGTTGTAACTGTCTGTCCCTTCATAAGAGACAAAAATGGGCTGCCTATTGGATACTTCCATATTAAAGTGACCACTACTTTTAGGCTTGGTAGTAGCCAAGCCGAAATCGGGGGGACAGCTCGCCATTGGTAAAAGATTTACGAGTTTTGAGTCTTCGCAGTATTGCCAGTTTGCTGTTCTAGCACAGCATATATCACGAGACGTACTGCATCCCACATCGGGAACGAGTTCAGCAAGGACATCGGCAACCAGCTCAGCAAGGAATCCACTTCAGTCCTTGCTGACACCTTATCTTTCTCCTACTGGACGGCCTCCTGTATTCTGCATTTATTTATATAAAATTCAAATTGTTTTATGTTAAAATACGAAACATTATTTCGAAAATGCCTTTGTCTGTTTCGTTTATAGGTACACGTTTTTTATTTCATAGAGGATTCTGTTGAATGCATTGTACACTATTCCATTACTTTGGGCATATTTCTGCTCTCGTATGCCCTGAGGTGTGCTATTTGGCTGCTTGGCTTTGCAGTGCTTTTTGAACGCGAATGACTACTGCCATTGTTTCGTATTTTCTGATAGCTTGTACATTAATCATTGTACCGGCAGCGTTCGTCAGGTGGCCCAAAATGAGCCTAACTTAAAAGAAATGGTCTCCCATGTCTACTTTGATTAATTTTAGGCCACCAGATAGAGACACACTTCCAAGTAGAGTTTCAAGTGTTCGGTCATGAAAGATTCATTTACAAACTCAAGTACGTTCGTATTCCATTTCCTTCTGACAGTAAAATATTGTTACAAAAGCTCTAAGAAAAGTCTGTTAAAGTTGCAGTTAAGAACATTTCATAGCAGCGTTATGGTAATCATAGTGCTTTGAGCAGTTAAATAATTTTAAACAAGAGTTCAACTTGTCTTGGCTTCTGATGAAATTACCAAGTGTGCTACTGGAATATGGTCTAAACGTTGTAGACTTTGTTTCTATTTGTAGTTCAACCAGAAAGATGCTTAATGCTGTCCTAATATAGTGTGTGATGGTACTGCAGGTTTTAAATAGTTCACTTTTAACTTTATCTAATGGTAATTATTTATTTTCAGAATTCGGTGGCATCCACCAAGATTTGTCGGCTCGTAATGGACAATTCTGCTGTCTGGGCGAAGCTATTTATGTGCCTGTGTTGGTGTACTTCTGCTGTTGCCGGTGGATACAAAAGACTGTGGAAAACCAAACCACTAGTCGTAAATCGTAGATTTCAATTTTAATCTAAATTTTAATGTTGTATAACGATGGGACCTTGTCATTTTATGCTGAATCGAAATTTGTGTAACTTTTATGAAATAAATGTGTACTATTTCCCATCTAGTTTTAATTTCCCATTTGGAACACCTCTCAATGTTACTTTTAGTAATCAGATATCTGACGTTCTGGAATAAATTAGTTATGAAACTGAAGTAATTTACGAGGTGTTAAAAGTGTAGTTTGCTAAATTTGCTTAATCTTTTAACTATTGAATTTACTATTTGTATATAATTTAATGAAATTGCCTTTTATGGTTTAATCTGAAAGAGGAATTGGTGTTTTAGTGTAAAACACAGCATTTATTTTTGGTATGACAGATGATCATTTTTACATACTAATTTGCTGTTTTCAAATGTGGTAAATTATTATAAACGTAAATCTTTATTAATTGTATATTAAAGCTGAAAAGGCGATGCTATCTTCTAAATCAATAATCTTGAAATTTTGTAGACTCCTGCAATGCTTAAAACTATACGGTTTGTTCGGAGAGTACCCCCCGGTCACTTCCTTGGGAAAATATACCCTAATTGAATATTTAAAATAGAGCAATGTTACTTTAGGTAAAGAAACTAAGTTCCCAAGAAAAGTATTAAATTTTATTAGCTTCAATGTACTAAAATTGATGTAACTTGCTCATTAATGGGCATTAACACCTGTTCAAGGTGTCACCTACATTTATAATTTAGGGATAAGAGTGTGCATACAATTTTTTTACATAAATTGTTGAAGTCTAGCTCTGTTGATGTTATCTGAAATAGCATTTTCTATTCTGCATTTATTTTTGTTGCTTTTGTCGCCACATACATTGAGAAATTTTGCACTGAAATACGTTGTCCGGAATAACATAAAACTGCTCATAGCAGTGTTACAATGTTCTAGGTATTCTGTATTGAATCTATAACCAAACATTTACGAATTTCTCTTGCTTAAATTTAGATTTTAACGTTGAATCTTTTAAGTCAATAATTTTTACTTTCCTTCAATAGCAAGCCTTCTGATTTATCTTTGCACTCGATCGGATTTTTCATAAAATCAAGCTTAATTTTTCTCTTAATTTCTTAACACCATTTAAATTAATTTTTCATCAGAAAACGTTAGTTTTGCTAAGCATTGCACGTTATTTTGTTCGACGTAATTTGCTACATATTAAGTCTTGTACCTAGCTTGTAATTAAATGTAAATATATACTTTTTAGTTAATAAACACTAGTGAATGCTCGCGACAGCTTTATAATTCACTTTTTGAACTTTTTATTTTTACTCGGAGTTCTCAAAGTTTTAACTCTGAACACATTTTGGAAACCACTGTTCTAAAGGTTATTAGGGCTATCTGCCTGAGGAAAGGATGCCTTCGGAGAGGACTTTCAAAGGGAACATGGCTCGTATACACGTTACACATGAGCGAAAACCACGGAAACACCTATGCAGCCAGCCCGCTCGTCTGGAATCTAACCCAGGTATACGACTATTCAGTGACTTTATCGCTTGCCCACTCGTGCGCTGCAATTTTTTGAAGTAAATGCCTTCGTGGAGGATTGTTCTTTGGCTGAAACTGGCTCATATCCATGTTACCTCGAAATCTAAGGCATTCGCTCATGCGAGGGGACGCGATTAATGATATTTGAATTTCCCGATTCTAGCCCCTTGATAAATGGAGGATTTGCTTATACATCGAGGCTCGAAAAACTTGCGTTTCCTAACAGTTTTAAAATTTTTTCAGGTTAGTTTTAAAAACTTGAATAACACGACGGGAACTCGAATCTGTTCCCGTCGTGTAACCGCAGTAGCTTAAAATAATCGGTACTATAACCTCTAATATAAATACAACAGCAGTTGCATTTTCAAGATGGTAGTCAAACTTTCTAACCGATTCCTAGACATTGAATATTGAATCATACTGCTCCAACTTTTCAAAGCTTAACGCATCATGCTGATTAGCTGAATATGGTTTACTGTTTGAATCATCGCTGCTCTGTGCGATAGGAATTTCTTAAATTATAATTACTAGACCAAAACATTCTAAAATTACATTGTTTGCTATGGAACCTCTTCAGCGAATACCTGGGAACATTACATGTAGTTTCCCGCTTATAGGTTTTATCTACTCGGCTTCAATTACCAGGGCGTAATTGAAAAATGCTCCTTTGAACCGTGATCAAACTTTGTATAGCGAATTTCTATAAGTGTTCCGTCAATTCACTCATCTACTTTCTTAGTATAGGTTTTTAATGCCGAATAAAAGTTTTTTCGATTTTTCGAGCTTTCTGCTCAGACTTTAGAATTCTGAAGTAAATATTTCCCTGTTTATTAATTTTTCATATTTTGTCATGTTTTCGTATTTTGTCATGTTTGTCTAGAAAGGACTATTTATATGAATTTAATAACAGGTCGCCTGTTATTAAATTCACTTTAGGTGATTCGCTTGTAAAGCATTAGAATTTCTTCTAAAATCGGAAAGTCTGGGGATATCGAAGTAAAGCTAATCTGGGATAAAATTCTTTTTTTCTACAAATACATTAATTATTGCATAGTTTAAATAACTACTCGTATTTAATGATTCCAAAGGAAATTTTTCAACTTCGTCAGCATTAAGCATAGGACAGTTATAGCAAGATGGAAAAAAAATCCCCGTTTTCAACTTTTCGAAATGCATTTTGATATTTGAACCGAAATGCTTTGTAAGTGCAGAACCAATAATAAAATCCTGGCTTTTTCATTAACTAATGTCAAGTTTAGGATTCATTTCATTACAAATGTAAACGCTTAAATTAGATTTGAACTATTTGGCGCCTAAAAATGGTTTAATAAAATTATTACAATTTAATACTTCAAATAATAATACCGTGAACACTTCAAATTTGCTTTGAAGGTACGGTAACACATCTTAAGTTTTACTGGTTTACGTGTTATCCAATCATTATTATTGGGCATATTTTTTATTAAAAAATACTTGAAACTTTTCAAATTTTGTATTGCACTTAAACAAACCGTTTTTCCATTTACACATACACATTTGGAGAGCCTTTGGGATAAGCCCGTTTTAATTAAACACATTTAAAAACAGCGTGTCTTGAGAAATTCGTATACACAGTTATTCCGTATACACAATTATACAAGACACTTTCACTTTGAAATCGTTGAGTTCGTTAAATAAACTTTAAAAAGTTTTTAAGAAACGAAGTTTAAAAAAAAATTTTAAGATGTAAATTAGATAATTAAAACAAGCTGTAAATTCGGCTTTCAGTTGCCCATATTTGGGCGGAGGACTAAGTTATTCAAAATTCGATGGCTCTAAGTATCTTTGTTTTTTCAGTGCGAGAAACATGCACACATTCATGCAAAGATTCATTTAATTTCTTTAAATAGGGCATAATTTTGGCGATTTTAATTATAAGGCGATAATTTTGGGTGGCAACAAATTGAAAAGGGATGCCTCGCTTTTAAGAAATTCGTCGAGAAATGCTGTTTGGAGACTTACTATGGGCTAAAAATTTAACTTAAAATAAGATTTTAAACTAAATGCGTGCTAACTTTACGAAGCGTAAATGATCATATTTCCTAAAACAAATTCTGTGGATTTATAAACTGAAAATTCATCGCAGGGATGTTTGAACTAACACTTGAGCCTCGTTCATTTAAGAACAGCTGATATTGCATACACATACAGTTATTTTCTGCTGCATGTGAGTAATTTCGTTTGAAAATGTCTTGATTTTGAAGTTCAGACAAAATCTTTCCAAATCCTTTGAAAAGGTGTCATCCAGACTTACGTTAAAAAGTCCTCAGTTCGAAGATTTCGTCATATTAAACTTGTTCAAAAATATCGCGTATGCTGATGTGTACAAAGATTAGGTGTTCTTAGAATCTGTCTGAAGGGATGGTTAATTCTTCTGTTAAAAAAGGTCATAAACTGAGCGAACACAATTTATTGAACATTGGAGGGGACTCTGATGAAAGTGCTGTTCAACAACGGCCGAGCGGTAAAGCCGCTGAACACTGGTAGTTCGATCCGAAAGTTCGAATCCCGCGAACGGGCTGGCTGCATGGGTGTTTTCTTCCTTTCCCCTATGTATAACGTGTACACGAGCCAGTTTCCCTTAGAAAATCCTCCACGAACGCATCCCTCCTCTTTGGGCAGATAGCCCTAGTGTGCTTTGCCATAATTAAATACACCACCACCTGATCAAAGTGCTATATAAATCAATAAAAAGTGTATAACTCATTAAAAATCTGAAACAGCTGATACTTTTGTCTGTAGTGCTGAAAAATTGCCTACAAGAGACTGAAGGAGTAAAAATTCTGTTTCGTACAGGTGTGTCAAATTTATATCCGTACGTTTGAATGAACCAAATATCTTAATGTTAAAATTATATCCTTAATGTAGTAGTACTAAAATGGTGTGATTTATTTTATTATGACTAAGCGCACAAGAAGGTGATGCCTTTGTGGAAGACCTTTCAAGTTAAACTGCCTTACATTCATGTTATACATAGAGGAAAGCACACCTGTAGCCACACCGTTCGTCTAGGATCTAACCAAATACGAGCTACCAGGTTTCGACGACTTTACGACTCTATCATTGGTAGACATATAGGAATGTTCGAGAATGTACTGGTTCATTTTAAGATAATTAGGGTTACTTTTGAACAAATGTCTGATTTTTACAACTTTTGCTTTCTTTGCTTTGATCACAAGCATGCTTTCACGACTTTGCACACTTCTTTGATGTAATCTTGCTTTTCATCAAGCGTTTTATTTTACGATTTTTTCGCATACTTCTAATGTTTTAATATAAATATAAACAAACTAATTTTAAGTTAATTGAATTAACCAAAAAATCAATGCAGTCTAATAGTTTCACTTAATGCACATAGTTTGAAATGATTGAAAACGAAGGATCTAAACTTGGAGCTACAAGTTTAAGGTTAAATTTACACTCGCAAATGGTGAAAGGCAAAACAAATGGTATATGTGAAGACAGAACATCAAAGATCTATCGAAACATTAAAATCAAAAAAACAAATCGCAAACGTCAGAAACCAGTATAAGTTAGCGGATAA